CTTTTACATTGCTTTCTATTTATCATCTCTACAAGGGTTACTGTATTTCTCTGACTTTATGTTATCAATGCTGGAACATTAAATATTCTATTTTCCTTCAGGTTTTGGTGGTGATGAAACCAGACCAGTTTGCTTAGCAGCAATATCAGGAGAGGAATACCGATCGTGGATAAGTGCCATTGAAACTGCTAGGTAGATATCTTTAAATGATACAGCCCATAAACGTGTGATCATAAGCGTTATTATACCTGTTCAACTCAGAACATATGTATACTGGAATAAGACATCGTAGTGATTCTTCAGTCCTTGTGATTTACAATTCGTATCGCAAAGTTATTTACTTTACGAAAATTGCCACATCTTAAGTTATGCAGGTTTAAGGAATCGTGTACTATCATTACGCACTGAACTAGAAGACGTACGAAAATCGATGAAGGTACAACGCCATTTATTGTAGTACTTTTTGAATCCAATGGCATAATTTAGACAATTTTCGATTATTATTGTATAAAAACAATGTTTGCCTAAGTACTGACTTCATATTGAAGTACCCCCCGTTCTAACTCGCTTATTATTCCATCATAGCCTGTTTCGTTATATCCTAATTCAGGGGATAAAAATTCCGACTTTGGTATGTCAATGTTAACTGCATTCAATTTTGTAATAATAGACATTGATTTTGATGACTTGTTCAAACAATGTAAAGTAATCATCAATATCCGCAATTTTCCTCTAGGTGATATTCATGGGATCGAAATATTAATTGGTACAATACCTTTCAATATAGCCAAACACTTCTCGCAATGTTATAATATCATTACAATCTTCTATCATGTTGCAGAATGTTCATTAGCTACAAGTTCTTTCAATTCGCCTCCAAGTACATATATATCATTAAGTATTCTTACTGCAAATAAGCATATATTTTGGCTGGAGCATTGTCAAACTGAGATTTGCGAGGTAGGATTGCGACGATAGCACCATCTATGATAGATCGACATATAGAATGAATTTTTGAGCCCTATAAATTGTATCTGATAGCTATTAATATTTACGCCAAAGTATGATACCTTGTTTAAAGAGCAGATTAGTTCTAGTGTATTAAAAAATTGCATTGGTTACCTTTTGGTCGTTTATATCAAAGTATGATGCCTGATTTAAAGGAGAGATTAGTTTTAGTGAATTTATAAATGCTATCTGAAGACTCTTGATTGTTTTTACTAAAGTATGATACCTGATTGAACGAGTGGCTTAGTTATAGATATAGACCATCAGATAATTTTTGACTACTTATAGTAAAATATGATGTCTGAACTAAAGAGTAGATGAGGTATAGAGCTTTTATTAGTTGCGCTTGATGACTCTCATGCTAAAGTACAATGCCTCATTTAAAGAGTAGATGAGTTGTAAGGTTTCATCAATTGCACCTGGTGACTCTTGTACTTATACTAAAGTACGATGCCTGATTTAAAGAGTAAATTAGCTATCGTTCGCAGTCTATTACGTTTTTAAAAAATAACGACGTTAAAATTTTTATTTTAGTTACCATAAGATACAATATTGATTCAATAGCAATGAATTTACAGAGTATGAGTTATGTCACTTTACTACGTACGATTAGCTCTTATCATGAGTATCTATGAGTCTTTCAAATTGTTAAGAGTAAACAGAAAGTAGCCATTTTTGCAAACTAAATATATTTCGTATCGTAAATTACAGGATAGCTATGAGCCATTCTATTTAACAAGTGCCTGCTTAAATTTTACGGAAATGTCTATCAAGCCATCAACAGAGTTGAAATTCACGTTATTTATTGTACAAAATCGGAAGGAGGGCACTGTAAGTATTTTGTTGGTAATAGACTACGATAAAATACCTACCAATAGGTAGTAAAGAGAATAGCTTGTTGACCTGATTCTTGTTGATAGAAAAATGTAGGTGGCTTCGCAACATGTCAAATGCAAGAAATAATACAGGCCTTAAATCAAAAAATTGTTTTTAAAATTAAGTGAGTAGATTCGAAATTGCTGTCCATTGATTACATAGTTTAATATTGTATTATTATCAATTTGTTAACCTTACTAGGCCTCAGGATCGGCCAGGTCTTGTGGGTACTATTAATATTGTACCTAAGGTAGTATAGAGCTGTAGAAATTAGATTTCAATTCAATACGATAGATTTCGTCAATATTCTAAAATTACATTTTTCAATACGTCAGCTACACGATGGAGGATCAACACCAAGCCTTTCTACTGATGAGGTAACTGACATGTTATAAATATCATTCATGGCATAATTATTGGATTTAAAAAAGTAAGCAAGTTATACTATTTCAATAGGCTTCTATTGCGCCTGAAATGCCAGTAAGATTTCCAGACATTCGACCGATTCGACCTTTCAAACATGACTTTTTAACGTATGCATAAAACGTACTCGTTATAGTACCGCTAACTAAAATGTATCGTGAATAATATAACGTGTCTCTTAACTGTAGGAAAAGCTGTGCAAATTTATGTGCAAAGAATTATAGATTCCCTGTTGCGTAAGTTTTATTAAGGGCAAGTGTGTCATGTGTAAATTTTTTAGTATACACTTACATTTGTCCTTATATATGCTCTGTGATGCTGTTACATATTCTAGTGATGAAGTAGGGGATGAAGTAAAATGCATGAGAGTAAAGGAAATGATGGGAGAAACAAAGATTTCTTTTTTAGTTCCACAGCAGTTACTGTAAGTTATATAACTGTCTGCTATCTATTTGCTATATTGCATTAATTTTTACCGTCCGGTCGGAGCTTGTTTTCATTATTCACTTGTTATGCTAGCAATATATATATAGCTGCTGAAAAACTATCTATAGAAGAATTTAGCAGGCTTGGTGCAGTAAGTAGAGTTATCCTTGTGTATCTGCAGTTTTGGAAAGTCTTTTTATCGCAATTTATTTTATAACCATCATCTCTACGTACGAGCAGATGCAATCAAATTGGGAAACCATTCGATATAAAGTTATACAGGAACATGTTGATTTATGCACTGAATATGAAGAGAGCTTACAAGAAATTAAGAAATTTACTGGTCAGTAAGATGTCAATGTTGGAAATTCTATAGCAAACTTAAATTGATCAATAAAACGCATTTCTTAGATCCGTACTTTAAACCGAGTAAATATAAGATGGAACAAAAGTACCAGTTTATACCCACGAACCTACATATACAAGGAATTGCTATTTTAGATCCATTTGATGACGGTTAGTTTCTTTCCCTCCTTACAATATACGCGGCATCATAGTCAATCTTTATTATTGATAACCTATAATGAGTTTCTGCTAATTAATATTTCAGAGCACCATTATAGCGTCACTACTGTTGGTGCTGCTGCGGCGCATTCAATGAAATTCAAAAACGGTGGACTTTACAAGCAATTGCGACAACTGTCATTGAGAGATTCTACCAAGTTAGTAAAATTAAATGTATTGTTTTTCCTAAATGTGCGTATAACTATAATTGAGCATGTCAATCACGTTACAATTTATCCATAGATCACAAACTGAAGATCATATAAATGAGGAGTACTCAGCAAGAGAATTAAAAGGTGCCAGAAATTGTCGTAGCTACAGTATTTATCATTAAATATGCTAATATCACTTATTTCGTATATTATTTAGCAACCACGAGGACAATATATTTTAGATTTACTGAAAATCTAAATAAATTAAAAACGTAAGTACAGTATGTTAAATCTCAAAATTAAAATGAAACTTGTGTAATGCTTATGCTTTATACTTTCACTACAGTTTGCTTAAAAGTGCAAAATCACCGAAAGATATTGAGTCTACATGGAATAACGTAGCGGATAGCGTACGTTTGAATTGATTATTATTTATCGACTAGGCTGAATCTTATAAATAGTAGTTTTGAACATTTTACTGATCATATTAACGCAAGAATTTATTTCATATGATCCATTAAAGACTCGCTATTTGATGAACATATACAACAATAAGATTGTGCAATCGCTGTTAACTGAATATAAAAATTGCCAAAAAGTACTACAGTCAACCAAAGATCTATTGAAAAATTTCGACTTTACACGTAAAGTAATTGCTCAAGATAACGGTAAGCTACTGGTAAAGTAAAATATATCATTACAAATGATTACTGAAACATTCTTGCCTAATTGCCAACATCCCTGATTTAATAGATTGGGAATGGATGGAAGCAAATTTGCAATATTTTACTGCTATGCAGCCAAATAGCTCACAAGTTAATCATTATGGACCTGAAGATGTACTGTCATCACTATCTTCTAAAATTTATAACTTTAAACCTAATCAACCATGTACGTACTTATAACGTTAAGTAAAAATCAACTATTTTCATTTATCTATAATTAATCTTCTTATGAAATACTGCTTTCTTGTATATTAGTAACAGATGAAAAAGATTCAATTTTACAATTAGAGGAACAAGTAAAGGAAAGTGTTTCTCACATTATTGACGCCACTACTTTTGCTAGGATGAAGGTAATTATATCGTAAAGTTAAAATACTAGTTGAAACGAAATTAATACTGTCCATATTGCATGAACAGAAATCGAATTATTTATACTTTATAGGACGAAAATTCCAAGATTGAAAGTTTGAAGAATATTCGTAGACGTCGTGATATTGTGTTTTCGCAAGTTGTACGTGGTTAATGTTACTTATACGTAAGAAATAGTCGACATTATGCATTTAAAATGTCAATTTTTTTCTTTTGTTTAACCACGGTCTAGGTCTCAGCTCTTGTTGCATCATTCTATTATAAAATCATGTACGAGAATATTTATAATCCGAAATATTTTGATCAAATAATGACGATCGGATTTTTGGCATCATTCGAAAGCCTTCTTAGCAACTATGGTTAGATGTACTCGTATATATATATACATTATACAGTATATGCGGCTTGTATCGTAATCATTATTTTTAGGTTGAAAATGCTGAGTTTCTTCTTTGGCATGATAGGTGACGAGACTGGCATGCTTGAAGACATGTGGATTGGTGTCCGAGATTGTAAGAATGTTTCCTTTAAGGTAATACAATAGGCAATAATATTTGACGCAATGAATTGGTTAATTGAAAAGATTGGGAATTATCTCATTACAATTCTTTTATTTCTAATTGCTTATTGCAGATAAACCGTGCAAAAGGTGATCAACCTTCGCCAATACCTAGCATTAGCGGTTCAAGGTAAAGCGTTACTTATTTTTTTATGATACTAATTACGAATCTGATATTTGCACAGTACTGTGTATTTGCCATTTTCAACTAAGGTATTCTCATATTACTTGTAGGACCCACTTAATTGTCAATATTGAACTAGAGGAGAAGGCCTTTTCTGAATTGCCTGAGCCTTTGCAAACGGGAAGAAAATTAATTAAAGTTGTTCCAGTTCTATTTACTGTTGGTATTAATGAGCAGGCCACAATTGCTGAAAGGTTTGATGTTCAAGCTCAAAATTTTATTCTGCAACTACCTATGGTTATAATGTAATGCCCTAATCTAGTTTATCTGTTATCATTACTAGACTTGGACAAGTCGCTTTGCAAGATGCTATCAATGATTGGAGTTTTAAACGATTCAAAGCTTATTTTGAGCAATATAGGACAATGCATCCTAATACAAGTTCGTACATAAGTATGATAAATATGTCGAAAAAAGAGAGAAATGGTGATGGTTGCCATCAGTTTCGATGTTTTAGACAGATGCCATAGCATACGTACGCTAATATACTGTCTTTTTCTTTGATAATTCTGTAGGAACTAGCAAAAGTAGCTACTCTCCATCTTTGAGTGAATCCTTACAGAAATTGGAAGAAATTATACAAAAGAAAGCAAATAAGAACATCGGAATATTGATTCAAAGTGAAGAGGTACAAAATATCTGTCTTTATTACCTAATGGGCTTGTTCATTATAGTGCCATTGATACTTGCTATGCGAGTTTTAACCACGTTGATTTTATTGTATATCTGCAATATAGATTTGTCGTAGACTAGATGGCGGAAGATTAACTTGTTGTAAAAGTGGTAAAGATCGTACGTCTATGTCAGTTACATTAGAACAATGTTTGTTATTGAGGAATGAACATAATCTTGAGAAGAAATATTTTGAACGAGCATTAGAAACAATGAGAAGGTAATTCCTATGTTGTCTATTTTTAATATGCTCCTTTGATTTCATAAGTACAGTACTACGTGCTGATGGGTAGTAAAAATATATTCGTACTACAGCGTTTTTATTTGCATTGACAGTGAGGGTCCTCGACGTGAAAATACTTGGAAAAACGCTAATGCTCGATGTTACGCTTTTAATCGTATGCAAGTGATGGTTTTACCTAATTTGTATAAACCACCTGCAGGAACTTATGGCAGTGCGCAAACATAGTCTCTTAGATAGTATTTGTCGTATTTTTATATACCGTATCACGAAGTTTCCGAGATATTCATATAGTTACATGCAATTTTAAGGAATTGTATTAGCAAGATGACACACGCACAAATATCGGTGGCTGTAAAAGTTAGCTTAAGTCATATTTTACGAGTATTTAGATATTACCCTTTTGAGTTGGCTAAGGGTTGTACTGAAGCATAAAACTCACTTTTTGTATTATATAGAATATCTTGCTAAGCAACCTAGTTAGAGTAGATGTATTATTATAGAAATTTTAAGACATTGGCTTGCATACGTAGTATCTATTCGTTCTATATCGATGTATCTGTAGATATACACATTTGTGTCTATATTTATTTTACCTTCATAGTAGTATTTAATAGGCAACTACTATGTTATTTGTATATTTTGTCACAACTTTGTCACTCAAAATATACGAGGTTTGATATAAGTATGAGAATCTTTTTAATGACGTATTTTTGCTATCTTAATAAATAACCGCGCTACTGCATAGTAACAATATTTACAATGTCTTGAATATTATTTTGCACTCTTGTAGAAGCATAGATATTATCGTATTCTTCTGTTTTCATATCACATTTGGACTTGTTTATAAAATTATTTTGTCATTTGGATAGATACATATTTATGTCAATTTAATATTGAATAAAAAAAGGCATTTAAAAATAGATTGTCATTTTGCTTAAAATTATTACTTAATTTTATGTTAGATAACATATTAACTTGGGTTACCAAAATTCATCATCATCGTCGCTGTCATCATGTTGAACAATTCCGTCAAATAACTTGTTGAAGCATCGGCTACTGGGATTAGAAAAATGAATATATGGTCTATGTTTATCTAGTTTTTGTAGACAAATCCAGCAAAAGTTACCATGACATATAACACAATGCATTTTATTACAACCATCTTTCTTTTCGATATCAGCTCTACATCTTGGGCATCGTTTGCTATTTTTTTGTAGCCAGTCTTCGCTTTGAATTTGCTCTATAACTTTGTGTAACTTTTGCTCACCATAGAGTTTGACCATTTCAAGGCGTTCTTCAGCATTACCGTTCATGTAGCGCTCGCATAATTCGCGTGCATCTTTAGGACTGAGTGTACATGGCACGACGCCATGATAGGCTCGTTGACATTTAATGCAAAATGCATATTGGCAGCCAGGACAGCGTCCTAAAAGGCTATTTTTCTCTACTAAAACGGCCGTTTGACAGGATAATCTAGGGCAGTAGACAACATCAGACATAGTCTCTAGAGCAGAGCGTAGTTGTAGTTGTTCATATCTCTCGTAATATTCATTACTAACGAGTCGTTGAATCATTAATGGTAATATTTGAGAGGAACACTCTTGACTTGGGCAGGCGATGGGATTGACTTTACCATCATCAATCATGACCGTGATGTAATTACTGACACAATCTTTGCAATGAACATGTTGACAAGGTTGCAATTGGACACAATCGGCGCCAGATTTTTCATCGAAACATATATTACAAGCATGATAGCCGTTGATGAAATTTCTATCGATAGTTTGTTCATTAAACGTAATAATCCTTTCCATGATCATATTTAGCGATGGTATTTCTTGTACAACACGTGGATCAACGACTCGTACTGGATCGGATAGATCTTCTTCTTGTGAGGTAGTAGCACTTTTTTTACTCTTTAAGTGTAAGCATACTGATTGTAAAATGCCTAATTTATCGATTGCTTCATCGGTTAGAAATTGAAACCAATCGAATAGGACAACGCAGCCTGTGTTGTCCTCCCATATTTGATCCAAATGTTCGCAAAGAAGCGAGAGCTAAAGTAGATCATAAAGAAGAAGATATAGTTTAGTGTTGCATTTCAGCAATAAGGTTAAGATACTGTAGCTCATTTCCATTCTACCCTTACATAATGTATGTGCATATCTCACGAACTGTGATAAAGTTATACAACCATTGCGATGAGTTGAGGCTAAGATAAATGTACTGTATAGTAGATTTGCTATGGCTTATGCCGATATTTAAATACTGTAGTGTTGGTGCTAACCGAAGAGCAGGTCTTCTGCATTAAGAGGAAGGACCGTATTGAGTTTGCTTACCGTAATTTTATTGAATCACTGTGATAAAGCTTTACGACTACTACTTATACGCTTGATTATTATTTCTTATTCAAATTACTTCTAGCTGACCAATCGAAATTTTTCTTTCTTCTATAAGATAATCTATTAATCAATCTTAGCCATAATACAGTCTACTTAATTGCTATTGAGACTTCTTGCTTCTATAAGATTATTCATGAACTAGTATAGTAGGCTATGAAATAACAAAGCTTAAATATAGCCTAATTTATTTAATTGATTAATTGATTGCATGGTGTAGATGTCTATAATATACAGTCCTTGGAATACTTTAAATAGTCTGTTGTGTATACGCATATATTGGCATAATTTTGTTGAATAACTACGATAATGCTCCAAAACAAATTAATTGATAAATCGTAATACTAGATCATAAAGTATTTTTCCATTTGACTACCCCTGTTGGTCATTCCTATTTCTCTATGTCTGATTGCATCCAGCGGAGTTTGAGGAGACAGTCATCATCTTAAGCTTAAGGCAGAGCTTTACATGGCATTCTTAATGGACTATATTAATTGGATAACTCCAACATTATTCAATCAATTAATGGATACAGGCTTGTAATTTATGAAGCCAGCAACAAGATATTGCAATATGCAATAAATGATTACAAGCTAATATAGAATAGTCGATGTGATAATCAAGTTTAACTATAATACAATTTAATTAATTGACTGGGGGAAGTTGGTAAGATTAGGATTAGTATATCTCATCTGTTATGTCTCTATTAGCATCATTAGCCCAACTACTTGCACAATGATCTTAAAGTTTTCTTCAGTTTGACTGCCCTTGTTGATCATTCATACGAGTATATCCTCCGGATGTAACTGCAAGTTCGATTGCATCCAGTAGAATGGGAAGAGGCAGTCATTACAATAATGTTAAAACAGGATATTGTATGACGCTTTAGTGCACTATATTAGTTGGATGACTCTAACATTATTCATGCAATTAATGAGTACAGACCTGCAATTAATTAAGCCAACAGCAAGATAGTGTAATATAGATGGTTGAGGGCTAGTACAATATGAAATAGTCAATGAGACAATCAAGTTGAAGTACTCGTATAATAATACAATTTGATTGATTAACTAAGGTGGAGTTGGTCAGACTAGGATTAGCCTAATTCATCTATTATGTACTCATTAGCACTATTAGTCTAAACATTATGCTAGATCATAAAGTAATTTTCCGTTCGACTACCCTATTGATCATGATCATTGCTATTTCCCCATATCTGAGGCAACTTCAAGCTCGATTGCATCCAAATGAAGCTTGAAGAGACAGTCATGACATTCAGTTCAAGACAAGCCATTGCATAAGATCTTTCGTGTGTTCAATTGATTGGATCACTGTAGGACTATTCAACTCACAGACACAAACCTGAAATTTATTAAGCCAGCAACAAGATATTGTAAATGTAGGTGGCCGGAGGCTAGGATAACACTTTGGCAAAGTGAATTCCAGGCAAATGGCGGGCAGGTAGCTAATGGCGTAAGTTTGCACTTGATCTTGGCTTCTTTCAACGATCACTTGAAATGACGGTGGGATATTAACCATCGCATACAGTATTCCTCCTAATTGATTTGCCGTTTCATCGTGTGGCTGGAATGTATCTAAATCATAGATCGAAGTTAAGGCAGAAAGTTCATTTTCTTGCTCCACTTGATCGCAATCTTCATCACCATCCGCCATGGCAACGTCCTGTGAATGCAGCAACGCTAGAGTGGTTATCCCTCTGCTCCCGTACAGTACCAACTACTGTACACTGTACGTCACAGAAATCCATATTCATTTCCAATGACAAGTTGCAAGTCCAGTCTAGTGCTGTTGCTCTGCTCTACTGTATTGCGCACTATATAGTATTGTCTTCCGCTCTTGCCGGTAATCATGGAGACCGCATCAGCCATCGCATCATCGAAAATATGGATGGATGGATACTAAAAAAGGGAAAGAAGGAACCATTGCATAAGTTTATTGAAGATATAATACCATAAAAAGACTGAGAGAGTATTCAAAAGTGGAAAGAAACTCGCTTTTAAGTGAAGAGATTCGGTCCAGTCTTAGGTATTCCATTTTTGTACTGTACTCTATCGCATCATCGAAATATGGATGGATGGATACTAAAAAAGGGAAAGAAGGAACCATTGCATACAGTATGTTTATTGAAGGTATAATACCATAAAAAGACTGAGAGAGTATTCAAAGTGGAAAGAAACTCGCTTTCAAGTGGAGAGATTCGGTCCAGTCTTAGGTATTCCATTTTTGTACTGTACTCTATCGCATCATCGAAATATGGATGGATGGATACTAAAAAAGGGAAAGAAGGAACTATTGCATATGTTTATTGAAGGTATAGTACGATAAAAAGACTGAGAGAGTATTCAAAAGTGGAAAGAAACTCGCTTTCAAGTGGAGAGATTCGGTCCAGTCTTAGGTATTCCATTTTTGTACTGTACTCTATCGCATCATCGAAATATGGATGGATGGATACTAAAAAAGGGAAAGAAGGAACTATTGCATATGTTTATTGAAGGTATAGTACGATAAAAAGACTGAGAGAGTATTCAAAAGTGGAAAGAAACTCGCTTTTAAGTGGAGAGATTCGGTCCAGTCTTAGGTATTCCATTTTTGTACTGTACTCTATCGCATCATCGAAATATGGATGGATGGATACTAAAAAAGGGAAAGAAGGAACTATTGCATATGTTTATTGAAGGTATAGTACCATAAAAAGACTGAGAGAGCTTTCAAAAGTGGAAAGAAACTCGCTTTTAAGTGGAGAGATTCGGTCCAGTCTTAGGTATTCCATTTTTATACTGTACTCTATCGCATCATCGAAGTATCGATGGATGGATACTAAAAAAGAGAAAGAAGGAACTATTGCATAAGTTTATTGAAGGTATAATACGATAAAAAGACTGAGAGAGTATTCAAAAGTGGAAAGAAACTCGCTTTCAAGTGGAGAGATTCGGTCCAGTCTTCGGTATTCCATTTTTATACTGTACTCTATCGCATCATCGAAATATGGATGGATGGATACTAAAAAAGAGAAAGAAGGAAGTATTGCATATGTTTATTGAAGGTATAATACGATAAAAAGACTGAGAGAGTATTCAAAAGTGGAAAGAAACTCGCTTTCAAGTGGAGAGATTCGGTCCAGTCTTAGATATTCCATTTTTATACTGTACTCTATCGCATCATCGAAATATGGATGGATGGATACTAAAAAGGGAAAGAAGGAACTATTGCATATGTTTATTGAAGGTGTAGTACGATAAAAAGACTGAGAGAATATTCAAAAGTGGAAAGAAACTCGCTTTTAAGTGGAGAGATTCGGTCCAGTCTTAGGTATTCCATTTTTATACGTACTCGAGTTAAATATTGTATATATATAGCGAGTCAATGAATACCCCAAGATTTAAGAATAAATATCGCTATTAGCGAACAATCTGAGTAAATGAGAAAGGTTCTATCGAAGGAGAACTGAAAAAAGGTTCGAAAGAGAAGAATCCTATCTTCAAAATGGAGTGGTGTGCTGGTTTGGCGATTCTTGAAGTACTACCATGGATTACTCGATATATAGCATACAGTATATCGAATAGTTCATGGCGCCACTTACTTATAAATAGAGTTGTTGATATCATATTATAGTATAGTCTTGCAATGTCAAGGACGATTGTAGACGTTGCTTTTTTAATATATTGCAGGCATCAAGGCCTATGATGCAGCCCCTAAATCAATAGTGAAGCATTTTGAAGCAGACCCTACATTTCTTGATGTATCGAGAACGTAAATCGATTGAGAGCTAGAAACCATTTTACTCTGTCAATCATGAGGTGATGACCGAATAGTTCAGAGTCAAGAATATCGTCACAGGAAGCCATGATGGAGTTTATCTTGCTGCATATCAACCGTCTAGCTCATTACAATTCCATGATATCATCATTGCATAGACAGTAAAGTTTCAATACACAGTCCATTTATTGATCACATTACCTGCCACTAGGTGGGCTATTTCCTTTTATTACTTCATTATATGCATCTTAATTTTTAAACTAGTAAAATCAGATACTTGCTATACACTAGAAATGTACCTAATTGTTATAGGTTTCTCCGTCTAGGTAGAATTGACATATACAGTACAAGTACCGTAGCAAAATTGTACAAATATGTGCCTTTAAAATGAAAGGCACAGAGTAAAATAAAAGAACAATTGCAATTTTTTCCACCATTTCTCACCTTATAGTTACAGCAATACATTAACCTTTGCAATACCTTATTAGTTACTCGATCAACCGTTATTGTAATTCACTAACTGTATAATATTTCAAGAAAGAAAACAATAATGAAATTTTAGGCTAAAGGGCCCAAGGTTATTGTCCTCGTACCTTTTTAAAATGGGATATTTTCATTCAGTGTTATCATCTACGCGTAACTCTTTCTCTGTTTGCATGCTTTGCTTTCTTACTAAGCAGCAAGAGCAATTATTACAATCACAGCGTTCAAAAAAATTCAATTCTATTTCAGAGCTTGCAGTAGCAAAAAAATTTTTGGGTATTATTTTAAATCTGTTGAGTAAAGAAAATCAAGAATGAAGCATTGCTAAATAATATTCATGGTGATATATATTTAAAATCATGAGTTGCCGTTTTGCATATCGATATTCCAGCCAATAACTTTGCGGTCAAAGCCTGCAGAAAATAGATTACAGGGCGCATTGTCATCTTCGCACCAAGCTGTACAACATACCATCCGTTTATGACCCTATGGGTAGAGATGATATAGAAAAACTACCTTAATACTACATAAGAAGATAAAGACGCAGTCAGATAATAGAAGCGTATCCTATTAAAAAGTATAGCATTAGAACATACTTGACCATTGCTGCGTGGAAGGCGAGCTATGCGATTGCCATTTAGGTCGTATAATCGTATATGACGATTATCGTGTGGAATGGCAATAACGTTATTTGAAACTGAAAGTCTATTGTAATAAAATAGAATGTATATTAGATGACATAGTACATTAAATAAAATTGATATCGCTAGCAGTGTGACATCAACAATTAATAAAGAGGCCATGATATCATAAAATGGTATATGTTCATTTGTAATAATGGAAGCTATTATTTTAACGTACTTATTAACAGCAGAATCTAATCTCATAGTTGCGGATGGTGATCGCATGTTTTTTAAATCCCATACCTATAAGGAGAGAAGACTATTTGTTACTTCTTTTGCTACTTACACTTGCGAAATACTTGCATATTCTTACAATACATAGAATAAAAGCAGCTAACTAGATACCTTAACTGTACGATCATCGCTGCCGCTAACAATTTTATCTTTGGCAAATACACAGGAAGTAACCGTGCTGTAAAGAAACAAATTAAAATATTAATTTAATCATATTGATAGTATAGGCCACTGGAATGTTCGAGAACTCAACTATGCGTAGTCATTGATAATTAAATTACATTAACAACACATACTTGGAATGGCCTTGAAAAACATTCACTGAATGAATAGAAGAGCTTCTGAAATCCCATAATCGAAATGTTGTATCTTTTGATGATGTAACCAAGAGATTTTGAGTGGGATGTGTAGCTGCATAAGTAATATCTTCTTCGTGTCCTGTCCGATATTATTGAGTATTATATCAAGGATGAGTGAATGACGATTTAAAATCGCTCAGATAGGAATATACCTTACTAATTGCAAGGCTTATTTACCGAAGAAAAGCATGAAATGTCTATAATAAATAACATCATGAAATGATCAATAGTAAAATCGTCTTTTATCATTCTTACCTGTCAACGTTTGAATAACCATACCGGTATGAACATCCCATAACTTTGCCGTTCTATCCCAAGATGCAGTTACAATTTGATCACCATCTAGTAGCCAATCTGCCGTCGTAACCACACCTACAATTTTGTATCATATGTGCAATTTAGGAATAAATTGATATTGGATTGATATCTATTCTAAACTGTCGCTATTTACCACTATGATCGCGGAGTTGCAATATAGAGTTTCTAATAACATAACCACTGCTGGAATCGGCTGAACCTAAATTGAGAGATGATCGAATTACTTAAGAACAAGTATAGCAATTACCTAATCAATCTTTTGTTAATTGAGGGAAAAGTAAATTATGACGGACGGATTTGCGTACCTTCATAGTTATTATTCATTAGATCTTCATCTGTATTTAAATTTCCCTTGAAAATAGGAAAGTAGATCAACGATAAATTACTATACAGTAATATCAAATCAAGCGAACTTTTCAGCTTACTGTAGAGATGAAGTCGTGAAAATTGCCTAGGTTGATTCTCCAAATATGAGCAGATGAATCACCAGATCCTATTAAAGATAGAAAGTAGCGTGAGCAAGAGGATATTGAATACTACCGTAAGCATGGTCATTATCCTATCCAGATTGAAATTTTACCTGTACACACTAATGGTTCGTTCTCATGGAAACGAATAGAATTAACTAGGAAAAAGAAGTTAAATATCAAGTCCAATTTAGATATCAATAAAATGACTGTTTCCCTATTATTTTACTAGTACGGTAGTTGAGCAACTTTCATGATAGTCATCAAAACGACAACAACCATCGTGGCAATATTATATGATATTGATGAGGAGAAATTACCAGATCCTTCGTGGCCTTGATATTGAATAAGACGTTGACCACTTTCTATATCCCATATACAAGCTGTATGATCTACAGTATATTCAAAGTAATTATATTGATTAATTGATAGAATTGACAGAAATAAAAGGAATAGATTCAATTAATCTACATTGTTATCCATCGAAGTTATTTATCCTTAGTCAATAACCTGCTGATGCAGTTCCAAGGATAGCATTATTAGCATAGTCTGTACACTTGACTTCCCATATACCATCTCGATGTCCAAGAAAGATCTTTTCCCTTTTACATTCTAATTGATTATTACCAGCTTTTAGATTTGTAATAGCCTGACTAACTTTTCCCTTATACGTTGATTTCATATGGGTTAGGACAGAAGAAGATGCAATAATGCCTTTGTACCCGGCATTATCATTGTATCAATCCAAAATGAAGAATAAAATCAATAGAAAAAAAAAAATGAGAACTTGAACATATTGAAGTGATCTTCATTTTAGTTCATACATGTATCACTATTTCGTTACAGTGATAATCTATGAGCGGTCATTAATAATATTGAAATGTAAGTAAGAAAGGAAAATCAGTCCACTATGTTGTAGTTTATAAGTTGAACTTACCAGTACGATCACGTTTATTTTTTCCGGTAGGGTCTTGTTCATCTCGTGAACCATCCAATCCGACATTTTGGTCTAATTTATCGGTTAAATAATCGATCTTTTCTTGTACTGTAATCATGATAAGAAAGAGTTGAAATTGTATTACTGTATCCAATGTAGAAACAATTTCATTTTTCGATGGAATAGTAAAGTGGAACCTTTTAAAAGTAGCATGTGTATATCTTAATTATTTCATCATAATTTATCGACTTTCATCGTTGTTGTTTCCAATCGAATAGTCGATTGGAACTTTTTGAGGGTAGCATGTGTTTATTTAATCATTCCATTTGAGTCGATCTACTTTCACTTTTTAGTTATCAAATCTGGCTTGTGTGATTTTTTAATTGGATGCTATCGTAATGATACTAGCATCTATTTATTTTATGACTAATCATTTCATCTTAGTTTGTCTACTTTCATCATTCACGTATAATACGTGTACCGAGTGGGATATTTTAAAAGTAGCATCGACACTATTTATTAGTTTAATCATCTCATCTTACTTTGTCTACATTTATCCTTGTCATAGAATATTGCCTGCATGATTATCGAATCGGTTACTAGAGTGGACCATTTTAAGGGCAGAATGGACAGTATTTCTTTATTTTTAATATCATCTCATCTTTGTTTGTCTATTTCACTATTGTCGTAGAATATTGCCTGTATGATTTTCAAATCGATTGCCAAAGTAGAATACTTTAAGAGTAGCATCTATGGATTGTTTCATGTTCATCTCAATTTGCTTCACACAATCGTTATTTTCATCATCTTAGTAGTGTGTCCACTTGCACCATTGTCGTAGCAACATGGCCTGAGCGATTTTCCAATCGATTGCTAACGTGGACTATTTTTCAGAGAGTAGCATCCATTTATTTCAATGCTCATCCTGTTATTTTGGTTCATCTAATCCAACGTTTGAGTAGGAAATTATAAGAGCTGTAATCGCTTATTTAAATCATCTGATGTTAATTTATCTACTTTCATAGAACATTGCTTATGCGATTTTCAACGATAATCGAATATGAAAGTTGAATGCTTTGAGACTACGATACATATCATCTCATTCCAAGCGATTGCCTGAACGAAAGCTAAGGTAGAATGCTTCAAGACTAGCGTGTATTTATTTGACCCTTTCTCATCATTTGATCTTAGTTCGTCTACCTTTGTCCTAACCGCAGAATACTGTCTAGGTGATTTTGGAATCGAATGCTAGAGTAGAATAGTTTACGGGTAGAGTCGATCGCTATTTTAATGGTCTCATTCCAAGCGATTGCCTAAACGAAAACTAGCGTAGAATGCTTCAAGACTAGCGTGTATTTATTTAACCCTTTCTCATCATTTGATCTTAGTTCGTCTACCTTTGTCCTAACCGCAGAATACTGTCTAGGTGATTTTGGAATCGAATGCTAGAGTAGAATAGTTTACGGGTAGAGTCGATCGCTATTTTAATGGTCACATTGCAGGCGATTGCCTATACGAAAACTAGAATAGAATACTTCAAGGTCAGCGTCCATTTCTTTTTACTGTTCATCTCTTAGTTTGTCTACTTTTGTCACTGTCATCCAACCTTGCCCTTACGATTGGGAACACGGACATTTTATTTTTTGAAAGTTGTAAATTGTTTTTGACTGCAATAAATCAGGAAATCACATCATCATTATAGTATAGATTTAAAAGAGATACTGGCTGATGGAATTGTGCTCCAATCTAACCGATATTGACGATAAAAAAAAAAAATGGAGGGCAAACTCAATTCTACGTATCCAACCGAGTTGCAATAGCATGCATTGAAGGCAATCATGGGACGATTAGCAGATCCATCATTCTCCTTGGAAATTTCATTTTTTTTTCCTATTTTGAAGATGGATTATTACGATAGAGACCGCTATCGGTTAATTCATAGAAAATAGGGTATAAAATACAGGAAAATGTGACGAAAGAGAAAGAAAATTGAATGGAAATCGCCAAGTTTGCATGGGTATTGTATAGGCAATTTACTGTAGATCAACATTCAATGCAAGTGCATCAATAAGAAGGAGGGGAAAGCAATAAGAATAGCCATCTCTTGTAAAAAATTGTAAAGGAATGAGAGGACAAGGCGTAAAAAATCAAGATGGCCCTTGACGGAGAGAATGGAATAGGTAGAGTGGATGATGATGGTTGATTGCAGCAGTCTTGCGAGAATAGTGATGCGGATAACATGGAATAGATCTGTACACAAGAAGTACAACTAAAAGTATGGAATGAATCTCAGCTGGCGTGGATGTTGTATGCAATAAGGGCAATGCGATTTTAATGTACAACAGTTCAATCTCTGCAGGCGTAAGCAATAGCTATGGAATTCTCCTCTACGGTAGTACTCTACCATTTCCTACCCATTCCTTTCACTACGATAACGACTGTCATGGAGACTTGAAATTCTTGCCGCTACTCAGTAGTAGAAGTGTTTAGGATTGATATCCAATTGATCTCAAGGCAATCTCATTCTTAGGCGTTTGAAACTTTCAAAATTACATTCACTCCCGAGAATAGTATAAGAATAAATAACAAGTTATTTCCCCAGGTAGTCCACCATGGTTAAGCTGTCCAGTTTAAATTTGAAATTGCCTTAGCCTGTGTTGAGAATCCCTTACAAATGAAGTTGAAATCTAGCTGTAATTTAATCGATGGCGTCATGACTAGCTTCAAGTTAGGTGGTAGATTTTCATCTTTTGGATGAT